GTACAGGGCGCCCTTCTGTTGCTAAGTATATCCAGACGCAAAAGGCGCCCTTCCTTTTCCACTAATGGAGGAAAACTTTTTCACTAAGAGTGCGTCCGGCCATGCGATTCTGCGCTGTATTGTTGTTATTATTCTTTACTGATTCATGATTATGCTTTAATTGTTTTGTGTATTATTTGGATAATAGCAACGATTTCTACCGCCACCAAGGAGGTAAATGTATTCACCGGTGTCACTGTCTGGGTGTCTATTACAGTTTGTTTTTTATATCTAGTATCTTTGTTGAGAATTGATAATAAAATACGCGACGACTTGGTAACGAAAGTTTGGCAGAAGTTTTTTTAGATCCAGCTGTAGGGGGCGTCCCATTTTTCGTATTCCCACCATGCATTTCTGTGGAAGACGGTGGAACACTTTTTTTGTGTGGAGAACTCTATCTTGTATTTCTAGTATCTTTGAGAGAACGTAGGACGCCAGGTAGGACGGTCAAGCATGAGCGATTACGCTCTAGCGTCGCGTCGACGCACAAATCGAAAGCTCCTTATTGTCGTTTTGTGGGACCTTAGCAACAATATCCAAGGGGCTCGAACATATTGTCTGATGATGAATTTACTGATTTGTTTTTACTTGTTATTATAACTTAGATATTTGAATTCTCTGCAACCGATGAAGATATTTATCCAAATAATATTGTAATATTTAACATTACCGAGGAGTCTGAATCCGGTCATCATTTCTACATTGAGAATGATGTAACTGGTTAGTATAGATTTGTTTGTTAACTGAAGTAACTATATAAATAATAAATGTGATATTCATAAAAAGTAATTATATAAATAAGCCAAAAAATATTATTGTTATGTTGATTAAATGTCCTTATAATGAATATATCATAATATAATGTAAGAATAATAATGTTTCATACTGTATTCTTCATAAGCCTTATTCCGGTCAATTTCTATTATTAATAATTCCTATTCTCTTTATCTTTTATTGGAAAATGAGCTCTTTTATAATCTTGTATCTTTTTTCTATCTATTTTCTATAGCTATGTTTTCATTTTCTACCACTGCCTATCTTACTCCTAATTTCAATAAATATTTTTACATTATTAATGTAAAATTAATTATATATATGTGTTCATATTTGATAATTTTAAACAAGTATTTGTCATTTTGGTGAAATTTCAAAAAACATTTTTCGCCATAGAATAACAATAGTATTTGGAAATATCAAGCTACATTCACATCGGTTCCGAATCGAAATTCGGACCATTTCCCGAAGAGCCGAACACCAGCGTCCCTATTCTTACACACTCGGAGGCTTTCCGATCTGATAATTTGGATTTGGTGTGAATGCCCCTTTATGTATCTTTGGATCAATGATTTTGTTTTATTTTCATACCATAAAGCTTCCAGCGGAAAGGTCAAAATTAGCAACGCTCCAGCTTCCAATGACGAGTCGTACGTCATCTCAATCGGTGTTTACAACATCGATGACACTCAACTCATCAACGGGAATAGGTCAACTGTTGAGGTGCGCATCATTTCTTCGCCATACAGCATCAGCATTCTACCCATAGAGAACGTTACCGTGTATGAGTACGAGACCGGAAACGTCACAACTATTTATGTAGACGCTGAAGGAAACCTTGATGATGTCGCGTATAATATTAGTCAAACATTTGCAAAAGGTATTTTCATCAGTATTCATGTATATAAATATGTGTGGTCTATGCACAGTCAAAAAATAATTGTAGACTAACAAAATTAAACAACTGAATGAAAACATTTTTTTACGAAAAACCCATAATGCCACAATCCGCGTTTGCAGCCATTTTGTTTTGTCGAGTATTTACCAGTTTTCTATTTGACTGGTCGTCTTCGTTATGTAGGATCTTACCGCTGCGCAGGTAGGCGTGGTTTAACGAAGAACGACCAGTCGAATACGGCCATCACTACATTTATTTGGACTATAATTTTATATAATACATAGGCCTACTCCAAGCATCGAAATGCTCGCCATCGTGTCGGGATTCAATATTTCGACATTAATTATGTCATCATCAGGAATGATAATTTTATTTCGTCAACAGCTCTATTTTCTGTCGTTCCTTCAACTGGTGATATCTTACTGCTATTGTCCCCTCTTGAGATAGCTTTATTAACGGGATATCCTGCAAGTTCTATTAAAGTAAGCGTGCTGTCTCTTATACACATCTAGATGTGTATAAGAGACAGATTATAATTATTATTATATTATTTTTTTTTTCTGAAGATACCGTCTCAACCGAAATATCGTCGTCTGGAGTAGCCGTTGACGAAAATCAATTAATTCTAAATAGCTCCGCCATCGGGCGCTACGTTATAAACGTGACAGCATACAACAGTAGCATGCCATCTGTTAACGATGTAACCACGGTAAAGTTTGATGAGTTAAATCGATAGGTCCACGGTACCACTTAGTGGCGTATCTACAGGTAGAAGAATTATTGAAATGTGGGAGGGGAGTAAAGGTGAAGTGGGAATACTAGGGCCGTTATCCCGAAAAATTAAGGTGATGGCCTAATTCTTTTGCTTAGAAAATTTACAGTGGGGGGTAAAGGTGTGGTGGGGAAAGACTGGACGCGGGGGAAGACGGGACGATGGGAAGAGGTGAGCTGTTTTCTCCCTCACTGAGATGTCTAGATACGCCACAGCTACTAATCTTTTTGATTGTATACCATTCAGTATTGTTGGTGGTAAAGAGTGTTATTCGTGCAGTGGAAGCAACTGACTACAGCTTTTATCAGTAAAATGCTTACTAAATTTAAATTTGTCAAATCTTAATGTTACTTATTTTAACAAATACAGTAGGTCTATAAGGCGAGTGCTTTTTAGGTGTTTGACTCTTAACCATATTTTTAGCATTAATTAATCGGCGCAACTTTGTTTACAGGTTTTTATTACTGTGTTGTCTTCTAAAAATACCCATCCTGTGTTCAACAATGTCCAGCCTCAAATCATACCAAGCGATGCAATATCAGAAACTGTTATTTTTACTTTAAGTGCAACGGACGAAGATTATCCAGAATTTGGAAATGGTGAAATATTGTACGATATAACAAATGAAATTAGTGAATTGGATGAAACAAGTAAGCCAAAATATATTGGAATGCAATTACGACGTATTAAATTATTTGAGCTTTTTCCACACATTTCTAGTGTTAAAATATATTGGGTCCGTCCCTCTGGTGATTGTTATACAAACGTGGTTTGACTGAGACTCCGGAAAGGTCTGTTGACACTGTGCTTAGGCAGTAGGCTTATTCGACTGGTTCATTCCGTTGAGTATTATTTTTATTCGACTGGTTCGTAAAATAGACTTCGTTGACAAACGAAAATTAACGTAACCGGAATGCGTTAATATAAAAAAAAATATGGCCGACTGGTCAGTTTAGCGACAAAATTTGCGTTAATATAATTTTAGATTAAATTTCAGATAATAGAAATTATAATATTTACTCACAATGAAGTCAAAAAATAATTGTAGGCTAACAAAATTAAACAACTGAATGAAAACATTTTTCACGAAAAACCCATAATGCCACAATCCGCGTTTGCAGCCATTTTGTTTTGTCGAGTATTTACCAGTTTTCTATTTGACTGGTCGTCTTCGTTATGTAGGATCTTACCGCTGCGCAGGTAGGCGTGGTTTAACGAAGAACGACCAGTCGAATACGGCCATCACTACATTTATTTGGACTATAATTTTATATAATACATAGGCCTACTCCAAGCATCGAAATGCTCGCCATCGTGTCGGGATTCAATATTTCGACATTAATTATGTCATCATCAGGAATGATAATTTTATTTCGTCAACAGCTCTATTTTCTGTCGTTCCTTCAACTGGTGATATCTTACTGCTATTGTCCCCTCTTGAGATAGCTTTATTAACGGGATATCCTGCAAGTTCTATTAAAGTAAGCGTGGATGTGCTGGTGTATGATCTGAGCATAGTCCCTGGCTTTGATAATGCGACTGTGGAGTTTCGAATCCAGCTACCGAACCCCGGTCCGAATATTACTCACGTACCGGCATACTTTGAGCTACAGGAGGTAAAGATACATTGGTAGCAAACAAGAAAATATTGTTAGGATTGTTTCAAAAATGGCATTCCTATTGCGAGCAATGTTGCTA